GTTCCTCAGTGTAAACAGTCAAGAAGAAATGAACAAGTTTAACTTTTGGCTCCAGCTATGGAATTAAAATGTATTACAGACTAAAGCTGAGTGGATTTTTTTGGGAGCAATTTAAATTCAAATATCCGTCATCGCTTCATGTCACATAACTTGTTTGAATTTTCCACACTGATTGCATGATGTAACCCTTAATTGAGTAGCACAAATTAATGTGCAGCACATGGGTAGAAATAAATGACCTTTGTATGAGTCATGGTCTCTGGTGTTGCAGCGACCCGTTGAGCTCAAGTACAAAAATAAAAAAGGTTTGAATTTTAAACATGAGTGTGATGCACAATAATGTCCCAGCCCAGAAACATGTCAGAGTAGACTGATGCCATCTATTATTACCAGGCGTGGACTTCACACTTCTGCATCTACTTTACTTCTGGACTGACGTCACTGCAGAACAGCCCGTTTCACAACGCACTGCCTGCTGTTTACTTTCATTTAGAGGTGACTGATGGTTCTTTAAATGAGCTCAGGGAGGTTTAATGGGCACAACTTAGAATATGTCACAAGATAAATTGCTCAGAGGAGAAAATAACACGTCACAAGACCTTTCAGAGCAAATGAGACTGCGAGGAACTGTAAAACAAAAAGACCTTGGCACTTCCTAACGTTACATTTTTCACATATTGTTTGCACATTTTCTTATTTAAAGGTTTTCTTCTGAACGAGTCTTAAACTCAGTTTTACACCAGCTTTCAAAAACACAGTTTTGAGCCTGCTGTCTTGATAAGGTAAGTATTAGTGTTTCTGCTTCAGTGCCTCTTTCTTGTGGGGTCCCACAGGGCTCGATTCTTGGACTCCTTCTGTTTTCACTCTATCTGCTCTCTTTGGGGTCCATCCTGAAGAAACATGGTCTTTCATTTCATTGTTATACTGATGATTGTCAGATTTATTTGCCCTTAAAACCTAACAGTTCTTGTTTCTTTTGTCTTGATGATACAGTATCAAGGCATAGATGGCTTCAAATGTTTTAAAGTTTCACCCATCAGAAGACTGAAGTCATTGTGTTCAGCCCTAGCTCTACTGCGGTCTTTGATCCTGTAAACCTTGACTCTCTTGAGGCTTATCTTAAGCAGTCTGTTACAAATCTCAGGATGGTTTTAGACTCTGATTTTAAGTTTAATAAACAGATTAACTTTGTTTTACGGAAACGTTTCTTCCAGTTAAGGCAGAGAGCTAAGCTTAAGTCCATGTTGATCAGATCTGACCTTGAAAAACTAGTGCATGCCTTTATTACAACCCAACTAGACTACTATGACACACTTTATGTTGGGGTCAGTCAGGTCTTCTTTCATGTCTCCAGTTGGTCCAAAATCTTACAGCTCAGCTTTTAACTGGAACTCATAGGTTTGATCATATTTCACCAGTTTTGTCCTCATTTCACTGGCTCCCTGTACATACCAGAATCCATACATTATCTTTACTCCCTTCTTCAATCGATTTTAAAAGTGTCCTGCTAACCTATAAGTGCATAAATGGCCTTGCACCCTTGTATTTCTTTGAGCTTCTGGAACCATATTGTAAATGGACTGTACTTATTTAGCGCCCTTCTATCTTATCAAGATACTCAAAGCTCTTTACAACTCAATCTGTGCCTCATTTACCCATTCATACAGCTCTATACTAGATCTATACAAAGACTAATCAGTGCTTTATCACATTCATACACTGGTGGGTCACACATCGGAGGCAATAAGGAGTTGGGTGTCTTGCCCAGAAACACTTAACCATGTGACTGCTGGTGGATTTGAACCCCCAGCATTGAGGCTGACTGCTCTAACCACTCAGCCACTGCTGCCACTAATATATTCCCTCTCGGGCCCTGAGATCATCTGATCAGCTGCTTTTGGTTGTTCCAAAAACACAATTGACGCTCAGAGGAGATCAGGCTTTTTCAGTCGTGGGCCCCAGACTTTGGAACAATCTGTCCCTCAACATCAGACAGGAACTGTCCAGATGACCTGACTGAAAAATGTTGGATTGTATACCTGGATTATTGAGCATGGACTTTGCTGTTAGACAGGACACTTCACTTGCTGGTTTTAAATCTCAGCTGTTTTCTCTGACGTTTAACAAAGTGTGATCTGATTTCGTTTTTCATTGTTCTGTGTTTCTATGTTATTCTTTCATGCTTTTAATACACATGCTTTTAAATTACTCTCGTTGATTTTTTTGTTAAGCACTATGGTAACAGCTTCTGTTTTAAATGTGCTTTATCAATAAAGTTGACTTGACTCGTTAAATCATTTCTCTTTCATAGTGCAGTTTTCAGACACAGACATTTCATGACGCAGCCAGGAGAGAGCGACCTCTGCATCACTGAATAGGCAGATGGCCGTAATGGAAACTAGAACTTTCCTGTCAGCACGTCTCATTGGTCAACACTAACTCAAATTACTGGGAGGGCATTGAGCCAGGAACTGTTGAACATGAGATACCCACGCTAAATAAAAGGTAGAAATGTTTGGAAAATCAAAGAACTCTTTACCCTCACTAGGGTCCTCGAGGGGTCATGGGAGTTTACATAATATTTTGTGGACTTGAAGAAAACGTTCAACCGTGTTCCTCGACGTACACTGTGAGGGGTGTGCCGTGAGATTGGGGGCCTATGGCTACAGGCTGTTCAGTCCCTGTACAAGCGGTGAGAGAGTTTGGTTCTCTTTGCCGGCAGTAAGCCGGACCCTTCAGGGTGGGAGTTGGACTCCGCCCGTTGTCACAGATTCTGTTCATAAATTTTATGGACAGAACTTCTCGGTGCAGTCAGGGGGTGGAGGGAGTCCAGTTGGGCAGCCGCAGGATTCCAGCTTTTTGAAGATGATGTGGACCTGTTGGCGTCATCGTGCCGTGATCTCCAGCTCTTTCTGGAGCGGCTCGCAGCCGAGTGTGAAGCAGCTGGGATGAGAATCAGCACCTCCAGATCTGAGGTCATGGTGCTCAACATGGAAAGGGTGGATTGTTCTCTTCAGGTCGAGGGTGAGGTTCTGCCTCCAGTGGAGGAGTTCAAGCATCTCTGGGCTGTTCCACAAAACAAAAATCCTCAAAGACAAAATGTTCTTGTAGAGTTAAATGTCCAACATTGTTTTTGGTTTTCTTTTGGCACAACCAGATCAAATCATTAAAACTTTAACATTTATGCTTTGTATGATTAACCTTATCAATAAAATCTAAATTAAATCTTCAAATTTAAAACCTTTCAAGACAGTTTGAGTGATTAAAAACCATAGAAAGGATAAATAAATATAAATATAAAAGTTACACTTAAATGCAATAAGTGAGTTTTCTGAAAATCTGCAATGAAACAGAATAAGAGTATTGTGCAAATGATCTTGTTTTTCATAAACTTTATAAGTTGCACTTTAGTTCTCCATCTAAAATTAAAGAGCTTTGATTTAGTACATAGCTTAAGAAGGCAACTTGTCAAAACATACAAATCTACTGGACAAGTAAACTATTTTATAATTATAGAAAGACATCAGTATTTCCTGGTTACCACAACAACTCTGGTAAATGTTGTTATACCAGAGTTACATTACATTAAATGATGAATTATTAAATTTGGCTGCAGGGTTCCTGCACCTGTGAATCAGAACATATAGACGGTGAAGAACTCGTCAGAAATGAGGATTTTATTTATTTATTTTCTTACAGAATTGAACTCTGCTTCAAGACAGAGGTTCTGTCCTGTTTGACCTTATTAAATACGATAAGCAGATTATAAAAGGCTTGGACACATGGATGGCAGCGTCAGATGTTTTGAAGCACAAGATGAAATACATTTTTTTTTTACTGGAGAAAGCACATGCTTTGCTTTGAACACAAATAATAAAGTTTCCCGCAACATTTAAAAGTAGTTGAAGAAACTAGGAGGGCAAAATGAACTGCATGCAGCCCGGAGGGGCACCACCAGGGGGCTCCGGTTTCCAAGCCAAATGCAGCTGGGGGGCAATTGGTCAGCATGAGGACAAAGTCTCTGCATGTCAACCAGGAGCAGATCAGCACACAGTAAAACTGTCCTGTACCTGTAGAAGTTACAAGTTGCAAAGATGTCACGTTGTGGTTTAAAAATCAAAGTCGTCTCATTCTTCTTTGACTGTTTATTTCTTTACGGTGCTTTCCAGCTGTTAGCAGATCACATTTTTCATGAGACTGATCATAGAGAGCTTTCATTTGTTTGACAGCATGTGTTCCTCAAACAGTGAGTAAGCCTAATGGGATTTAGCCTTGAGCTGCTGACTGTGAAGCTCACATGTTTACATTTGGTGGACACAAACCCAGCCCTCCTCCTGGACCAGGTCTCTGCATGCAAGCTCTGACCCAAATGGTTTACCTTGTCCTTAATTTCCTCTGTTTATTTTATTATCTTTGTATCAAAGCATCCACATTTCATGGGACCACCGTGACAGCAGCGGTCAAACGTGCAAGACACAAAACACACACAGACAAAACCTCATGAAATGAGTGACTGTGTGCACGTGTGTGAGTGTGTGTGTGTCTAAAAGAAAAAAAAAAAAAAAGAGGGATTCCACATTGTGAAGTGCTGACATCTGCTGCAGGCCCTCGCAGGGCTGGAATGTGATCCTCTCCTTACACAAAGGGCCCGGGCCCTTGCAGCAAGCGCATGACGACCTCTGTCCGCCTCTCTCCACAGAGGGAGCCCAATTATGAAATGACTGCATCAACGCCCCGTCCCATTTTTCCTCAAGCGTTACCTTTGATTAAAGCCACTAAACCCTGATGCTCCTGAGAAAGATGCTCTGCGTTCTCGTTGAGGAGTTCCTCTCTGAGCTGGTGCATTTCTGCAGCATTGCATCATGTGTCCCGCTCAATGGGTTCAATATGTCTCCAGCACGCCTTTGATTGTCGTTTCTGTGCTGCTGCAGAATTAACCTTACAGCAGGGGGATAGGCTGTTGGGTTTGGCCTGCAACAGGGCGGGAGGAACCACATGAAACACTCTTGATGAGGTCGTGCAGCACTGTGCTGAGGAAAAGGAAATTGAGAACAGGAGGGAGCATTGTTGCAAACATCGACTTAGCTTTGATATGACAACCTGAGAAACTCTTAAACATTTCCCTCCTCACAATTATATTGTTTTATCCATAAAAGAAGCACACTTTTGAAACTGTACTCAGGGAAATGAACATGTTCCACCTTTTGAAGACATATCTGTAAAACAATGATCCAGGAGAACTTTTTCATGTTTGATTTCAAAGTTTGAATTGATTATTTAAGAGTGTGTGGATTTAATCAGATCTAATAAGCATCGTATCATCTCATTTAGCTCGTGATTTACTTTGTTCTGTTTAAACTCTGGAATGTTTTTTAAGCTTATAAAGTTAAAATAAGCAGAAGCAGGAAAAAAAAAAAGCACGTGCAGAGCACCTCGTTAAATGATGCAGCACAGCAATGGTTAATCTCCAGGGGAGTTTCCTTGCGCTTTATGCGCAGCACCTGTTGTGCCGTCAGTTGCCAGTCTCCAAAAAGCCGAGCCCGTCAGCTCAGTCCAAGTTATGACTCCAGACAACAGCGCGCCTCGGTGCTGCGGAGGGTTTCTGGCCACAGGCTGGATCAGGTTGCGGGACTCCCTGGCAGCCTCTGCGTGAGCTTTATGCGCAAAGACTGAAGGCACGGAGAGCAGAACGCACCGCGGGCGCGCAATTGAGCCAAAAATGCATCTGTGTCTTTCTGACCATCTTGTGCCATAGATGACGGGCGTGCGTAAAGACGGCTTTCCAACTAATGCCAAAGGATTTGATCTGCTCCAACTTTGTCCAACTCAACAACTTTCCACAGAACCAACAGGTGCTCACGTGCACAGCGCAGCAGAGGGAGATCTGCAGAGGCTTTGTTCTCATTCACCAGTTTAAAAAATACTTCTTCTTCTTCTTTTTTTTTTTCTTGAAGGACTGATGGATTAAGATTATGCGGATTTTACTCAGTGCTTATCTTTCCCAAATGCGTCCAAACCAGCACGTGTGTCCAGTTCACGCGTGTTTGTGCTGATGCGAGTCATTGTGTGTGTGCAGCTGCGCTTTGGAACCACCACCCATCCAAATGATCCTTCCATTCATATTCCTCCTTGCATCGCTTCTCCAACATTATGGCGCAGAAGCAGAATCGAGTCATGTCAGCAAGTTTCACCTTCCAAGTGTAAAAGAGCAAAACGGTAAGTTCCCCTTGATTCTGCTGATTCTGCAAAGTTGTTGGAGTGGAAACAAACCTGGAAACTTCTCACAAAACAACAAAAAGTTCATTACAGACATCTTTATTTAAAAAAGCGCGTGCGTGGAGCGTGTGAATAGTCACATTTGGTCCAGTTCAAAGAGCTTTACCCGGGACAGGAAGCGCGAAATTACACTTTTACTTTGAAAGTGTGTGCGCGTGTGTTTAAGAGGGGAAACCCTCCTGAAAGTCCACGTCCCCCGGGAGAAGTTCTCCTGGCGAACATGAAAAAGGTTCTTTCATTCAGCTGCAGTCGCCTCGGGCCGTGTGAGGGACGTACCTGCACAAAGAAAATGTGTTTCTGTTCTGATGCTGAGAGGAAATGTGTCTCGTGCTGGCTCAGTAAATCATGCTCCTGGTGATCAAAGCCATGACTGGTCAGTTTGACTCAAACCATCAAATGCTTGGAGAGTTTTAGTAAAATCCTAGATTGGTTTAGGTTCAGAGTTATACCATGTCTGGAGCATTTAAGCCATTTTTTTTTTCTGCATTTGTCCAGTTTACTCTGTTTTAGACACATTTGTGTTTGTTAAGGTCAGTTAGCTGTGGAGGCCATTTTGAATGACAACAGCAAGTTGTAAGAATCAATGTAGTGCAATGTATTGTGCTGAAAGTGTGTAAGTGACGATGTCGAGCTACTACTCAATATTTTAGCTCACTGTATGAAAACCAGCTGACTTGTGTTTTACTGTCTAGAGCAACACGGTGGCGCAGTACGTAGAGCTGCTGCCTCTCAGCAAGCAGGTCACCCCAGTTCAAATCCCAGCTGGTTGCCTTTCTGGGTGGAGTTGCATGTTCTCTCCATGCCATGTGGGTTTTCTCTGGGCACTCCAGTTTCCTCCCACAGACCAAAAACATGTTAGACTGACTGGTAAGTCTGAATTGTCCCTAGGTGAGAGAGAATGTTGTTTGTCTCTTTGTGTCCCTGTGATGGACTGGAGACCTGTCCAGGTGTCCCTCACCTCTCAGTGACTGCTGGACATGGCTACCAGTGACCCCCACAATCCAAAAAGGAAGAAGCAGGTATAGACAATGTATGTATGGATGATATCTATATATATATATATATATATATATATATATATGTATATGGTCAGATGGCTCTGGCAGACACTGTTTATGCCAAATATTGTGAACCATTGGACATTTTATTGAAACTCTCAGAAATGTATTTAAAGTCTGTGCATCTACTTTCACTTCTGTCAGTTGGCTGTTACAGCTAATCAACAATAGCTGATGCAAAGATAGTCATAACTTAGTTTTATAGATATTTTTTTTTTGTCATGTGGCAGTGGTGGAGAGTCATTCACAGCTCATACTAAATATGGATGGATGGATGGATGGATGGATGGATGGATGGATGGATGGATG